CCCCCCCCCCCTCCCTCCCCGCCTTTGCCCTCTCCCGGCCCCCTGCCCAGACACTGACTGGCGCCCATGCCTGCCCCAGTTCAAGGCGGCTTTCGGCTGCTTCGTCTTCAGCCCCGAGGAGGAGAAGGGCGTCGACTGCGTCGCCCAGTTCCGCAGCATGCAGGAGTGCTTCTCTCGCCACTCGGAGTACTACTCCTCCGGCAGCAAGGACGACGCCCCCAAGGAGTGAAGACCGCCCGCTCGATGGGATTGCGTGCGCGCCGCGCGCCCCATGGCCGGCTGCTGTCCTCCTCTCCCTTCCCCCCCCGTCCCCCCCCCCCCCCCCTTCCTCCCCCCCTGGCCGCCTCACACACAGGCCCCCGCTGGCGGGACCCCCTTCAAATTAGACACGAGTCCCCCCCCCCCCTCCCCTTCGCCGCTTCCCTGTGCCCTCTGCCCCTCCCTTCATACGAACGAAAGACGGTGGTGCACAACTCGAATAAAGCACCACTACTTAGATTCAGGCTCCCTTCCTCCTTTTCCTCCCTCTCGCCGCCGCCGCATAGCCCCAAAGATGCTGCCTTCACCCGCCTCCCACACTCGCACGCGCACACGCACAGGCGCCTTGGGCTCCAGTCCTTCGCCCTGCCTCAGACCCCCGGCGCACTCCTGGCTCCCTCCCCTCTCGGCCGGGAAACTCCGCCCATCGGAGCACACACCCTTTCGCGGCCGCCTTCCTCCCCCGGCCACACGTCCCCCCGTCCCTCCGCCGGGGTCCCCCGCCCTGGTCGGAGAGGAGGGACAGCGCCCACAGCCAGGGGCCCGATCCCAGGCCGGACACATGCCGATCGCAGATCCCGAGACGCGACACGTGACATATCGCATCGCTCCCCAATCTCGGACTAGTCTCCGCCCCCCTTTTCCGTGCCGGCCTGCTGGGTGGCCTTATCGGGGAGCGGTGTGTGCGCACGAGGGATGAGCCCGAGAGATCGCATAGATCTCCCCCCCCCCCCCCCCGAATCCTGTCCTCTTCCATCTTGCCGGCCGAGCCCCCTCTGTTTGGCCCTCCTGCCCCTGTTCCGATGTTTTCCGCTGGCCGCTTTGGCGCGTCGGCCCTCCTGCCACTGCTGGCTGCTCGGCCCCCATCCCTGTCCCCGTGGCGCGTGGCCGCCTTCTTCACGGTTTCGGCTGTTCTCCGACATGCGGACGCCAATGCCGCGCTGATGCAGTTTGTTTCCGGCTGGTCGTCGGCCGATCTGGATGAGGTGAAGGCATTCAATGCGCGCGGGTTCGACGTCGACTCCATCCCCAAGAGTGCGCCTGCGCCGCTCCGTCCAGTCCACTTGCCCTTCGCGCTGCCTGACCGCGTGCTGACTGTTTCCTTCGGCCCCTCCCCTCCTCGCCCTTGCCCGCTCCATGGGGCACATGGGTGTGCTTTTGCCCTGCCCCCGGCCCGGCCCGGCTCCTCGACCCCGGCAGACGATCTCGTCGTCAAGTACATTCGCAGCCGCGGCCCTGGCGGGCAAAACGTCAACAAGGGTACGTGGGACCCCCCGTCCGATGTCTCCCCGGCCGGCCATATGCTGACACCGTCCTCCCCTCGCCCCTGCCCGCGCCCTCTTCTCCGGCTGTCCCTCTCTCGCTCTCTCGCTCGCGTTTTCTCTCTCTCTCGTCCCCTCTTCCGCTGGCATGGCATCACCCAGTCAATAGCAAGGCCGACGTGCGCATTGTCCTCGGCACGGTCGACTGGCTGCCTCGGTTTGTCATCGAGAACCTCAAACGCATGGTATGTGTGTGTGTGTGTGCATACACTTATCTACCCGCCTGCACGTGTCTTTTCGCTGATCTCCCTCCATCCTCGCCATTGGCCCTGCCGGTCGCCTGCCGTAGGAGCCCAATCGCATCAACTCGGCCGGCGAGTTTTTCGTCCAGTCAGACACCATGCGCACGCAGTCCGCCAACTACCAGGCATGCCTCGAGCGGATCGCCGAGATGATCAATGAGGCGGCCCGGTTGCCGGGCGAGACGTCCGATGAGCAGCGGAAAAAGGTCGATCAGCTGTACGTGCCCATCCAGTAGTCCCTTGGCATCGCATTCTCTCCCCCTCCCCCCCCTCCCCCTCCCTCGCTTGGCACTCCCAGCGGGTAGGTGTCCCTCGACCGAATACTCATGTGCTTCATCCCCCCGCTGCTTGCCCTGGCCAAAGGAAAAAGGCCCAAAATGAGCGTCGCATCCAGGAGAAGAAGCGCCGTGCCTCGATCAAGAGCGCCCGGCGGCGCCGCGATGATGACTAACCCCTCCACTGTCAGGACCGGGACATGCACTCTTTGTCCATCTCTTGAGGCCGTGGTTTGGCCGTCACACCCGCAAAATAGAAAAGAGTCCTTTCCCTGTGAGAGGGGTCGCGTGGTGGCAAGTACAGGAACCCGAGTCGGAGGGCGGGGGGGGGGGGGGGGGGGGGGGGGGGGGCAGGGCGGGGATGTTGAGCTGGCCCTCCTCGCAAGATGCGGGCCATTCTGGTGATAGCTTCCAATAGCGTCACATTCTACGATATAAAAATGGCTCACATATAGCAGAAAAAGCAGCACGGTGGCCTTTTAGCAGATCCGGTCGCGTGACAGTCGCACAAACAGGCCGAGCCCCTTAATTGTCCTGGCCCATGGACATCTTAGCTGAATGATGCCTTTCGTGGGCCGTGTCGGGCGCATCTTCTCGATCGTACGCGCCGCCCTTTCGCGCCTTGAGAACGGGGCCGGGCGGGGCTCGGCGAGGGGGGCGCCTCGTCCGATGTCGGGGGGCGGGTGCCGGCCCCGCGCGGCGCCGAATGGCACTGGCCAAATCCCCCCGGCAACCGTCCCGGGGGTGGTATCCCTTCGGGTTGGCTTGATGGGGAGGCCAACACATCCCTCGATGCGTTTTTTTTTCCACAGCCATGCCCGGGGTGTGTGCGGTGGGGCAAGTAGGGCGCGCGAAGTCCACACTCCTGGTGACTTGCTCTCGGGGGGATCCCCCACTTGCCAGGGCGCGCTGCTTGCCCCGAGGCACGCGGCTCGGGACTCCCCGCTGGCACACCGCCAGGTGGTGGCGATCCTCCCCCCCCCCCCCCCCTGCCCACGCTGTCTGCGTGTCGGCCCTGGCCCGCGCCTCCCATTTGGGGAAGATGTGCCGGGCCCCGGGAGCGCGTGTGCCGATCACTTTGCACGTCAGTCGCCATTCAGCCACTTGCTCTCGCCCTCGTTCACTCCCAGCATATGCCATGCCCCTGACAGCCGCCGGGCCGAACGCCTCGCTGGAGGAATTCGCCGCCGCCTGGCCTGAGTCCGAACTCCAGGCCGTTCGGGACTTTGTTGCTCGGGGGTTCTCCTCGTCCAAGATCCACAAAAGTGCTTCCCCCTCCCCTGGGACCTCTCTCTCTCTCTCTCTCCCCCTCTCTTTCCCTCTCTGCGTCTCTGCCTGTGCCTCTCTGCTTGTGCCTCTCGCCCTTCCTCCTGTTGCTCCTCAAGTAGCTCTCCCTGGCGTTGTGCTCATGTCCCTGACGTCTCTCGCAGGCTACCGCAAGATCACCTACTTGCCGGCCCCCCGAGCGACCGGGTCGCCGGGCAGGCCCCAGCGCGCTCCAAGCACGCCCCAACCGGTGCTCGAATCCGATCGCCCCCCTGGGCCGAACCCATGCAAGTTTGGCCCGGCCAATGGCACGTCCCACTGGCGCGCCCGGCCCTCTCCCGCTCCGCCCACCCGGCAACATCGCCTCCTTCCTAACCCCCTCCCCCCTGCCGAAGACAGACCAGACCATGGTTGAGGTTCGCATTCCCCTGGTCAATGTCGATTGGTGCCCGGCCTATGTGTCGGAAAATATCCGACGTATGGTGCGTCTGATTGGCCTGAGGTGATGCGCTCTCGCGCGGCGCCTCCTCCGGGCTTCTTCCTGCTCCTGCTCCTCCTGCCAGTGTGACATCCAATAATGACGGCCCTTTCCCCATGCCGTGATGCCCGGTCAGGAGGCCGGCCGCGTGAATGCCGCGGGTGAGCTCGTCGTCCGGTCCTCCACCTTCGCCTTCCAATACCCGAACTATTTGGCGTGCCTGCGGCAAATCGACCAGTTGGTCCTGGCCGCGGCGGCGTTGCCCGCTCCGCCGGCCACTCCCCGCCAAGAGCGCGCCGCTGCCCTGTATGTCCCACACGCGCGACCGTCTTGACTCTTCTTTTCGCAGGTGACTCACCTTTTGCGCATGGCTATACCTCCCGGGTCCCCCCCCCCCCCCCCCCAAGGCGCGAGGCCTCCAATGAGAGCCGGATCCGAGGGAAGAAGCATCGTTCCGCGACCAAGGACGCTCGCCGCAGCTGACGACACGCCCCGCTCAGGGCGGCGTTCCGTCTCCCCCCGGTCCCCGGCCGGCTTCCGACATCTCCTTGGGCCTCTCTCTCTCTCTCTCTCTCTCCCTCTCTCCTTCCCTTGGGGTAGTGCTGGCCATTCCTCACTGATGCTACTCAGGTGGCAAAAGGTCCACCTCCGGCGGGCACATCCCCTGCTGCGCCTGAGCATGGTGCAATGGTTGGCTGCTTGTTGCCGTGATTTGCCCTCTCTCCACATCCCCCATGCTCGAGGCCGACACAGCCATCGACCCCCCGTTGAGTTCTTCATTTGTGCCCCCCCCCCCCCCCCCCCCCCTTGGCTGACTTTCGCCCCTTCGCGCGTCGGCTGTGGTGGCTTTCGGTCGTGCTGGCAGTCGCCGAAAGCCCCACGCCTGTATTGAGGTTACTTTGTCCTTCCTTTTTTTTTCTGCCCGCCCCCCTGCCCGAGACCGCTCTTTCATTTGTAGCCCGGATCTCCTGGCGTCAGAGCGACGGTCTGCCCTGTTGTGCATGCTTTCGGGGCAGGCTCTTCGCCGGGGCAGGCAGCCCGCTGGTCGGCCGGCCGACGTGCCGCCGCAACTGCCGCAAATCGTCCGGGTGCAAGTGGCTTCGGAAGGGCGTGTGGTCCTCGGTGGTGGATTTTCGCCCTGCTTCTATCCCCGGGAGATGTCCGCTTGGGGCGATTCCCCCCCCCCCCCCCCCCCCCCCAACTTCCCACCACCGACCATGCCTCCCGTTCCTCTCTCCCCCTCCCTCCTATTTAGCTTGACCTTCTTTTGTCGGAGGCCAGTCAACCGACTTCATTTTTGGGCGCCTGCTCCGCCTCTCTTCTCGCGTCCCGCTCGTTGCTTGCAGTTCCCTTCAAAGCAAGACCTGCCACGGCGGTTCGGCGTGCTTGTCGAGGGCACACCTTTGGGACATCAGGGAGACTTGGCGGCTTGGTGTTGGAACCACGCCATAGGGTCTCCACCTCGCGGCAGCGCAAAAAATGGCCCCGCTCTTTCACAGGAGATTGTGCCGGCGCGCATCGTGCCTGGCCGGCTTCCCTGGCGTGATCGCCCCGGTCTTCCTCCCTCCCTCCCTCCCTCTCTCTCTCTCCCCATCCAGCCGCCGATGCCGGGATATTCACATCGGCCCTTGCGGGCTCGCGTGGAGAAAGATCCAGGCTGGGCATTCGGCCGGATCGCGCGATCTGGACGGCCAAGCGTCACTGGCAGTGCGGGGCCCAGCCCCCCGGCGGCTCCCGGGCAGCGCCGACGTCTGCCAAGGGCCGGCCGCCGCCTGCGAGTGGGTGATGCCCTTTCCGGTCCTGAGACTTCACTGAGTGCAGCCAAGGTTAAAATATACCCCATCCGCGTGCGCCAGCCTCGGAAGCATCCACCCGGGGGCTTGTTTAGCGCTTTTCTTTCCCCCTTCCCCTCGTTCTGTTTGTGGTTTATGTTTCTTGAGTTGGTCCAGCGGAAAGTCCCCCCCTTTCCCCGGATCTGCCGCTGACGGGGGCCGGGTACCGGCGCGCGGGCGTCCTCCTCGTGTCTTCCTCCCGGGCCAGGTGGCGACCCATTCCCGATCGGGGGCACTTCGCTGCCGGTTCGGGTGGCGACGATCCTGAAGGGCCACGGGCCCTCTGGGGGAAGCCCTGTCTTGCTAAGAGCATTCAAGGCGTGTCCGGGCGCCTGGGCGGAAAAGAGCCGAGCAGCCGAGTTGCTTGACGTGGCTCTTCTTCCTCAGGTACTTCCTCGGTTGCGCCTTCGTGGCGAGGCCCACCCCCCGTGTATGCTTTCGACCGGGGCTGCGGATACGCGCTCAGGATCCTGTGCTGACTCCATCCACAGGCCTGCTAGACGCCGATGATGGCGGATCAAGCGGTGTCCACCTGTTGGACTTCCCTCGACCAACCGACTTCAGGGCGGCGGGGCGCTTTCCTGCATTTGGCAGGTGAGCCAACGGGCAGGTTTCGTTTTTCCTCCAGCCCTGCCAGCCCGATCAACCTATTTCCCTCCCGTCCGCCCTCCCCCCCCTCTCTCTCTCTCTCTCTCTCTCTCTCTCTTGCGTATGCGTGCTGCCACTCTCGTTCACACCAGCGCTTGTCAGACAGTCCTAGTGTGGATGCCTGACTCCCGGAGCCTGTGCTCGCCAGCACGCGAAGGGGGCTCGGCCCGTCCCACCGGCCTTCTGCCCCCAGTGCCGAAGGGCTCCAGCAGACAGGCATACATGTGTGTATCTGTGTGCCTGTCTCTCTCTCTCTCTATCTCTCTCTCTCTCTGTGTGTGTGTGAGCTACATATCACTGGTGTGCGGTCCCAGGCCGGCTCGCTTTCTGTCCAGCGTGTATGCGCGTGCAGCCAGTATCGACCAGTATCCAGGCCCAAGAGGGGCGATAGCTTTGGAGAAACGGCGCTGCCACGTTGCATCCGGCGGATCTTCCGGCACAGGTGGGCAGGGGCTCTTGGCCTTTTCGATGCACACGAAGCAGGCAACAAAACAACAGCAACAATCGTCCCAGACATAGCCTTGGCAGAGACAACCAACAAGCTCCCTGCCAAGAACCACCAAGCATGCGGCTGCTCCCGAGGGCGCCCCCAACCCGACATCCCGGGTCGTTCGCCAGACGCAGCTACCAACGCTCTGAACACAGACGGCGCGCATCGCCGCCCCGCTTCTTTTCAGGGCAGTGGGCGTCTCTGCCCCCCCCCCCCCCCCCACGGGACGGTACCTCGATCGTGAACATGGGCCTGTGCGCGATCAAGGCATCCCCCCCCGTGTGCGATCCGGCTTCCTGCGCCGCATGGAGGCGGGCCGCCCGTCCCCCGCGCGATATGCTCGGTGCGCCGGGGGAATCCGGCCCGGGCGCGGTGGCCACGCCACGCGCTTCATCTATGGCCGCGATCTGCGTGTATGTCCGTGCATTGTGCGTGCATTGTGCGTGTGTGTGTGTGTGTCTCTCTCTCTCTCTCTCTCTCTCTCGCTCTCTCTCTCGCTCTCTCTCGCTCTCTCGCTCTCTCTCGCTCTCTCTCCCTCTCTCTCCTCGGCCGGGTTGTGAGTGATTGTGCAGCGGTGGCAGGGGCCTCCAGGGGTCTCCTGGCCGCGCGTGCTTGGCAGGCCGCCTTGCCCTTGTTGGTGTTTTCTGATCTCGCGCGGGCGTCCCTGCCCCCACTGCCTGGTCGGGGCCGTTCTTCTGCCTGTGGCGGCCGGCCCTGGCTGCGGGCCCACCCCCTGGCGGGGGTCTTTTCCTCGACCCTCCAAGGTCGGCTGTCCTGCTCCGACAACCAGCTGTCGCGGGATCCGAGGTGGGCATCGCTGCCAGGCGGGCCGTCGATACACTGGCCGCCACCGGTCCTCACGAAGCTCCTTCTCTCCGTCGTGCGTTTCCCTGGTGCCGGCCCTTGCCCGATCCCTCGCCTCTCTGCCATGTCCGGCGAATCACCGACACCCGTGCGCTTCCTTCTGTTCTCCCCTTCGTGGAGTGTCCCTTTTTTCCTTTTTGGCGACCCCCCCCCCCCCCCCCCGCCCTTCGCGTCCGATGTCGCCCTGGGAGTTCCGCACAGGGATCCTCTCTCTGTTCAAGCTCGCAACGTGTGGCTCTGGCTGGGCGAAGGCCGCGCGCTTACTCCCGCCCACTTGTGTGCCCCCCTGTAAATGGACGTCCAGACACATGGCCACGCGGGTGCACTGACCGGCCGTTCCTACCCCCCTCGGCTCGAGTTTGGCAGAGGCCGAAAGGTGCCCCAACATCCGCACGGCACACCGGGTCCCGAGGGTCGTGCTGCACCATCCTCCAGCGAGTGACGCCTCGTCCTCCGAACTTGCCAGGACGCATGTCCCACCTGGTCTGTGATTGATCCATGGGCGGGGCGCGTCCGGCGCGCCGTAGGATCAATCTAGTGGGCGCACATGGTGTCTTGCCTGTTGCTTCCCTCTTGCCAAGCACCAGCCTCGTGGCAGGAATGCCGGAAATCCGGCAGCCTAACCGCAGGACAGTGGCCCTCCTAGGGCCGCCGCTCGCGTCCAGCCCCAGTCGACCTGATGTCCTGTGGCCGCCACCCACAGGACTGCCGCCATGTCGATTGTGCATCGGGCGTTGCCCTTGCCACCCGGGATGTGGCAGTCCTTTGGGGGTGGCGGCCAGCGGGGAAGCACCACCTTCGGCGCCCCCGTCACAGGGGCCTGGCGCCTAAGAGAGAGAGAGAGAGCCTGGATGCGCTTTTTTTCTGCCCGGCCGGAGACGACAAAATGCAGCACACACACGGCCTCTTTTTCTTTGCCAGACCCGGGGTGGCCGCGGTGGTGGCAGTGGCGGCGAGGGGGGGGGGGGGGGGAGCATGGTCGGCGGGCGGCCAGGTCTCATGGGTCCGAATGGAGGCGCGGGACAGCATCCAGGCACATCCGGCGGCTGGTGCTCCTGCGAGACAGCCAACTCGTCATGAGACTTTGCACTCGCCACCCACGGGGCGGGCGGTCGATTGCGCGATCACCTTCCGGCGGACAGGCCGCATGCGTGCGCATCTGCGCGCGCAAAGGCCAAACGGGCCAGGCTCGCGCAATCCGACGCCCGCCCAGACGGCCGCGCCCTCGGCTGTTCCCTCCGCCTCCGACCCCCCTGCCGCTGGCACAATATCCCCCCGTGGTCGCCGGGCCGCCTCCCTCCCTCGTTCTCGCGACGGATGTGTGGGCGTGTGTGTGTGTGTGTGTGTGTGTGTGTGTGTGTGTGTGTGTGTGTGTGTGTGTGTGTGTGTGTGTGTGTGTATTTTCTGGGCGCATGCTTGATCCCCGAAACAGGGTTCGCTGTCTATGTCCGCCGGTGCTCCCTCCCACTACCGAATCACTGTCCCCCCCCCCCCCCC